AATGCGGCGTAGCTTTGCTCCATAACGCCACGCCGCCGAACCAACGCTGTAATATGCATCGGTATATAGTGATGGATCGCAGCTGGAATCAGAATGCTTACAAATGTTGAATCAAGCACATGTACAAATTTATTTACACTTGAAAATCTGTACATGCATGATTTGTTGACGTGTCACTTTCAAACATGCTCGTTTGAATTCGAATCACCGCTTGAATATCAGCCTACCTGTAAGGCGCTTTTTTCAATATTGTTCATTGAAGGCCATGAATGGAATTTTCTTCTGATATACCTTACAAAGGCGCATCTATTTCCTTCAAAAATGTTCTCCTGATAAAGTTCTGAAGTCCAGACAGATTAAAACACTTTGTTTTTCAGTCGGGCGCTATTCTTAGAGTCCTTGGTGATAGGAAAGTCGTTGTCAGAAAAGAGATTTTGACCAGACCGCGTCATCCATACTGCTCCGAGTACTATGCATATGAAAAGGTAGCTAAGTTGTCGATTTCAACTTGTTCACCTTATATAAGAAATTGTTCAGACCTACTCCGAACAGTCCCTTCTCATCTCAGAATTCACCATCCAGTGCACGGCGCGTAATAACAGCAAAGCGCCCCGCAGTACCAAGGATAAAAAATATTGCGTTTTGCTAGAGTAGGTTATTTTGACAACATTATTTGTTAGCCTCAATTGATATTGATCGTTCTTTTAACTATCCATTGAAGGAAACTCGACGAGATAGAGATGCTTGGGCGGACGCTTTCCATGTCTTCGTTCGATGAAACATTAGTAAACTATCACTTCGTCTATATTGAGAAGATCTCTCTGTCACCTATCAACTTCCATGTAAAAATTCACGTTGCTCAGCAAGTGGAACAGGAAGAAATATGCTTCGTGGAATGCTACAAAACTGTTCGAAAGAAAGTAAGTTCAAGGCGTCGTGCTCATCAAGTACTGTGTTACTTTCTCAGGACTTTATGAGGCGTTTGGCTACCTCCGCTATTTGCGCGCTAAAATATCTACACGATCAAAAGCTTTCCCATGGTTACATTGTACCTCATTCAGTTTGGTGCTCAAAAGCTACAATACGTTTTTCTGACGCTTGTCTGAAGTAAGATTTGTTTC